TTTGAAAACTAAAAACTTTAAAAAATACAGAACCAAATGATCTCTGTTCCTTCTGGTTTTAATATCCTATGATTGTAGCCCAATTATTATTTTATCGATGAAGAGTTAGGCCACAGAAGTGAAATTTGTTTGCTCAGGGTCACACAGCTAATAAGACGACTAGAGCTAGGTTTCCTTATTTCCAATCCAGTCCTTCCTCTGCTATTCCATTAGACTGAACAAATGACTTTTTCTTTTTAAACCACTGTAACCTGGTACATTTTTTTCAAAGACAAAATTTCCCCCTTACCTGATAACGAAGACTTCTTCAGAAGATGAGTGGACCCAGGTAGAAAGCATTTCTATGACTAATCCGAAGTTAAACTTTGTTAATGAATTCCTCATCTGTGTTACTAGTGCCTAGTACATTGTAGGTGCTCAATAAATGCACATGGAATAAATGGATGAATTTCTCTTTTTGCAACTTTTTAAGGACCTGTGCTCTGAGCACTCAACAAAGTACTCAAAACTAGAAGAACCCTGTTTTTGTGTGGGAACATGAGTATTGACTTTAGATTGTCTTGTCCTGTGACTTTATAATGCCTGCCCCTCCAGTGGTCAACATAGCATATGAAACTATAAATGTAATCTTTGTATTAGGCAAACATATGTGCTATATTATATAGCTAATTATGAAACTGAATAAAAACCTGTCATTATCTTATAAATTATTTTTTAAAAGTCTCCATTTGTATACATTCACCCTAACATAGCAAGTACTGTACAGTTTTTCATTGTAATTTTATCTGTATCAAGTATTTTTTTAATTATTAAATAAAAGTATGTTAGGACTGTGATTCAATAATTTAAAACTATCTCAAATATTTACATCAAAATTTTTTTTGAGATTGGGCATAATGAAAAGCTATCAATAACAGTTTATTTTTTACTAAGACTGAGACATGGATGACATTCACTAGAAAAATTCAAATTATTCAAACTGAAGTTCATTAGACCTTAGAAGGTAAATCTTTGCTATCTTTTTCCTCTAACTTCTGCCTTATTAGGGGCTTATCAGCAAAGTTCCTCTCCCTGGATATTACATTAGTCTGCTCAGCCAATGTGTTGGTTCTACTGTCCTGCAATCTTTCCAGGCACCTATCTCCTGGAGCACTTTATGCTGACTACACTGTTGTACTTGATTGGCCTTTTTGGAGGTAAATTCTTTCTTTCCATTGTGTTCACAGTTGGAATCAAAGGCAATTGTACACTGGTTTCTAAAAGAATGGTTTTGAGGCAGTGTTAATTAGTGTGTTTTCTGTGTAACTTCGAGTTGTATGACTGAAACAGTCAACATCATTACTCTTTGCCTCAAGCACACAAATCTCAGCTCCTGGGATGGTATTTATCAAGGCCCATTCCTGGCTTTTACTTTCTCTTAGATTAAACAGAGCTGAAAGCACATCCCTCCAGCTATCTCTTTACTTGTTTCTGAGTACTGTGCTAGTAAAACTATATTAGTGGTGCACCTGAATGTTCTATCCCTGAACCATGACTGTTATAAAGAACAAGTGTAATTAACTCCAATAAAAGGCACACAAATCATAGATAAATACAGCTCCGTGGAAATTTCTGTACCCTCAACCTCTAAAGAATAAATATTTTTTTAGTAAGATGATGACAGTAAGACTATGAATACACTCTGAGGAGGCTTTTATGTCTCCTGACATCAAAATGTAAATTTCTCCACAGTATAATATGCACCAGAAAATTTAATTATAAGCTGCCACTTCCTCTTATGTGTTTTCTCAGCACTAAAATTTTGAAGATGCATCTCTAATTATATTCTTGGATCTTGGAAATGATTTTTATGAGGTAAACACCAAACAACCACAAGATAGAGTATTTTATCAATTATTTTTACTGTCAAATAGGGCAAAATATTACTACTGCCAATATTATATATTATATATTATATTGTCAGTGTGGGTTATCAGCTGACTTCTCCAATCTCCAATTAGTTTTCTTATTCCTGGATAGACCAAGTAAACTTCCAACAAAACAAACAAACAAAACATCAACAAAACATAACATAATAAAACATAACAACAAAACATAACATAAAACTAAAACATAACAGATAAAATGTAAATTCTTCAGACTGCTTTTTAATGAACCTACCTTCCCAACATTAAAAATCACTGAACTGAAAGATATTTCCAAACAGCCTTATTATCCAGATGTATATTGGATATAAGAAAATCAAGTCCAATTTGAAATTATTCTCAAAACGTAGCACATGAACATCACAAATCCTCAGAGCACAAATAGTCCTCTTAAGGAATATAAATATTTAGTATAGAAGAATGTGAAATAACATAAGAAGGAAATCTCTTCATTTAGCTAAAATTGCTAAAATGCTGCTATTCTCAACCTCTAAATTCAGTACAGAGTCAAACTCATTTTCTCAAACTAAAGTACTACAGCATTATAAGTAAACCCTTTGTTATTGAGTTAGGATAGAAGGGAAAACTATAGCTTACAAAACAAGTTCCTCAGAATAACATGAGACCATTTCACAAATCCTAGAAGGCACACATATTTCCTATCATAGTAAGTGCATTTAAGTACTTCATATTTAAAAAAGACAAAGCTGTACAGAATAGAAAAAAGCATACATTTTGTCCATTAAACAAATTTACAACTCTTATGATTATGATTAGATATTACAATAGAACCTACCTAAAGTTCACATCTTAAGAATTATCACTCAGTTTAATAAAGTGAGCAAAGAACTACGTTCATTTAATAAGGCTAATAAAAAACATTTTTATATTTCACAGTAGATCAGTTAGTGTCTTGGAGTTCATATTGCAAGATAAAAAGGTATATGCAATATCAAGCCACTGTTTAATAATTCCTTTAAAGGTGACCCTGGGGGATAAAATCATTGGCTATACCTGGAGAGATCAAAAACCTGGAAAGCAACATTGCTCATTTCCAGAAATGTTTTAAAATTAAGACACTCCAAATTAAACTCAGTCTAATGCAAAATGACAATTAAAATTTTAGATCTGGAAAACATCTCAGAGGATCACTTATCCTAAGGTTTTCAAATAACAAACGTTCCATGTAATAAGAGGAATCAATGGAGAAGATTTAGGAACCTGCAAATTTGACTGGAATTTTAAAATTTTTTTGATTTAAAAAAGAAAAACAACTCTCTTGGTACAAATTTGTTACCAAATTTTAATATATGTGTTACCAATGCATTACTATGTGTTTTCATTGGTTAACCTAATGTTTAGTAATTATAGTACATAAAGTTTATATAAGAAAATTTATATTAATGAAAAAATAAGAAATATAGTGGGCTAGAATGTGTGCATGCATATGTATATAAGGGTTCTAAGATTTTTTACTTGAAAAAAAGGATTCCACTGCTGAAGTAGTAGTATGAAAACCACAGATAAAAACCTGTTTCTAAAATAGGAAACTACCAACAAGAGTAAGAGACTTTCTCAAGGTTACACAATCATCCAAGTGCATCTCCATGTTGATGTGATAGAGCTTCCAGTATTCTGCTTGCATAAACACCCAGTAGTGAGTGTTTAGCTATTTGGTAATTAGCTGATCCTATCAGGAGTCAAGTTATTAGCCAGATATTTTTCCTTGAAATGGATTTTATTTTATTTGCATGTCCATTTTTTTTTTTTTTTTTGGTACTGGGGATTAAACTGAGGAGTGCTTTACCATTGAGCTACCTCCCCAATTCCTCTTACTGAGACAGGGTCTCACTAAATTGCTGAGGCTGGTCTTGAACTTGCAATCCTCCTACCTCAGCCTTCAGAKTCACTGAGATTACAATTGTGGACCACCATGCCCAGCCCTATTAAAATCTTAACGTTCAAAAATTTCTRTCATCAATAGGTAGCAACTTAAATTTTTGGTACTTAGAAAAACAGGAATATTTGTAACTTGTTAATAATAGGTCAAAATTTGCATGGAATGTTAAAATATTTTTTAAAGGAGACTTCAAGCCCTAGTTTTACTATATGATGAAATATTGTTAAAATTMATATTTCTTAAGCAAAAATCTAAAGAAATGGTTGAGGTGCTAATGAAGACCATAATTTCATCATTATTATATTCTTTGGGAGATTTTCAAAGGAAATACAGTGAAGCAGTAAGGAAGCCAAATTATCTTCTAGTTTTCTGAGATGTTTTATGTAAAHATGGTGAAAAAGCCTCATCCTATTTCCTTATTTCTTAATCTAAGAAAATCAGGGACTATGAAACCCAGAGAGATGCCTTCAAGTTAAAATAAAAGCACCATAAATGAACACTGAATGACTTATTATAATTTAGAAKTACAAAATTTAGTATTTGTGATKAAGAAAAATTTCCTTCTGAAACTCCCCAAATGCATGAGCATTATAAAAGTCAATTAGATCAGTTATCTAGCTTTGGGAATGCATTTCCAGGACAGCCAAGAAGGTTCTCCAGCAGAAATTAATTTATAAGGCAAAGCCCCAACTTTATAGTCCTCAACTAAACTGTATCATATAACAAAAAAATGGATTTTTAAGTAAAAAATAAAAAATACATAGTTCCAAAACACACTGAAGTTATATAAAGTTACGAAATAATTGTGGAGCACTTCAAGTAAAATTGTAAAAGGAGCAATAATTGACCACAAGGGGGCATAATAAATACTCCTTAGATTCCAGCAGAAAGACGTTTTAAGTAGTAACATGCACTTTGATGTAGTCTACATTTTTAGTCATTTAAAAATTTCTCTCAGATGGCTACAACTTTTCAACATTCAAAGTTTATAAACCTAACAAAAAAGATTCCAGAATACTCATGCCTTGAAAAACTGTAGTGTCAAAAAGCCTCCGGAAATATTGCTGTTATCTGCTAGCAAAGGATTCAAGAGCAATTAGTTCTAATACACATTAGAACAGTTAAATAATAGGGAAGTATGATCTACAATAGTAGCAAATTTTAGTTTACCAAAATGGAAGACATGGGAAGTTTATTTTAAAAAATGGGACATATTGTCACAATAGCAAAAATAAGAGGGTGGGAAAAAATGCTTTTTCTGTATCGTTGCCACAATATCCCTTCATTTGTCCTCCATGACCACTATGTATTTGTAGCCCACAATAGCAAAGGAAGATCTCCCCCCATGGAAGGTCATGGCCTAAGGGGCTGGCCTGCTTCATCAGCCATGTTAAGAATATAGTTAGCCATATCATCTTCAGTAGGTGCATCTGAYACCACCCAAGATTCGTTTGCTCCAGTCATCTGCAGGCGACAAATAGGGCAATTCCTGTGCCGATCACTCCTATTAGGGAAGTCAAAAAAAGAACAATTTGTTTTCTTTCCTTTTTTAAAAAATGGATTTATTTGACAAGTAATATATGCACATAAAAAAATAAACTAAATATTTACTTGTATTTAAATGGAAGCCATTATCCTAGGAATAACTTCTTGGCAGTGGTAGGGGAATAAGGCAGAAGGAAAGGGTAGTACCAGTCATTTTTCTAAGTAATATCTTCATAACTCTCAATTAAGACATACAATTATGCTTAAAGATCTGACAGAAGGTCCTTTGGTTCATAAGCAATAAGATTTCTTAAGGAAACTATAAAAGTGGAGCATTCAAATTTAAGAGATTAAATTTATATGCATTAAGATTTTTCTGATAGGCAGAGAATACATATAAAATTACTTAAATAAGATTTTGTTTTCCAAAGGTTTTTTTTTTTTTTTTTTTGTCAAATACTATTTGGGAAACTTTTCAAATGTTACCATATTTTAGTCAGAAATATATCATACAAGGAAAAGTGTTTTTCTTTTCATCTCTCTGTAAAATCTGAGACCAAAGAGTAATGAAGCTATATCAATTGCTCTTTGGCTTTTTGTTCAAAAATTTAGAAATATGCTCCAAAAACGAAATGTGAGAGCTCCAGCTGACATATACCATTCAGGTTGATTTCTAGCTCCCCAGAGATATCTTATGAGATACTTATATGTGCTCTTCTGGGCACATAACATCACAATTTAAAAACAACTTCTGATTCTGGCCAACAAGAACCAGATTTATCTTCCCACTAAAACAATTAAAACATGGGACAAAATTTATAAAGTAGTGCTACAATATGTTTCATATAAAGCACTGGACATTAGGCAACACAAACAGTGGATCCTGAGAGGAGGTAAGCAAAGAAAGGGGGCCTGGACAGATCTAGATGGAACCTGACAGACACCCCAGGTTGAATAGACAGGTCAAACTCTGCAGGCTAAGGAAGCTAGAGTTCACAGGGCAGAATACTGGAGAGGAGAGAGCTACAGAGAGAATTCTGGAGATCTACAAATAGTTTCCCCTTCAAATGAGGAAACTATGTGAGGCTGAGGATTTCAGAGAACAAAGCTTACAGAGGGCATGGGATACGGCCTGTTGGCTATCAGTCAGACTGGAAAACCACATAATTTTTAAAGCATTGAGTAGAGTACTCTGAAAGGTCTTTTCTCACTAGTGGGACATAATTAGCATTAAACATTGATGGGGTCCTTCCTAAAAATCACAAAAGCAAGACCCAAAAGGATCAAACTATTTCCAAGTAACCTAATTATATTCCAGAATGAAACTCAAGAATATTTATAGTAATACAAAAATATCTAGTACCTAAAAAGGCAAAATTCACAGTATCTGGCATCCAAGAAAAACTACAAAGCATATAAAGAAACAGCTGAAAAATATAACCCACAATGAAGAGAAAAAAACAATCAAAATAACCCAAAACTGACACAGATATTAGTGTTAACCAATAAGAAAATTTAAAAGTTATAACTATATTCCATGTATTCAAAACACTAGAGGAAAGACCAATTATATTAAGTAGTCAACTCAAATCAAACTTCCAGAAATAAAAACTAAAATATTAAGGTAAACAAAATGATACTGGATGAGATTAATAGAAAGCTGGACATTGCAGGAAAAAAGGTTAGTGATCTGGGAGTCGCTTGGGAGGCTGAGGCAGAAGGATCACAAGTTCAAAGCCAGCCTCAGAAAAAGTGAGGCACTAAACAACTCAGTGAGACCCTGTCTCTAAATAAAATACGAAATAGGGCTGGGGATGTGGCTCAGTGGTTGAGTGCCCCTGAATTAAATTCCCAGTAACCCTGGCCCTCAACCAAGAAAAAAAAAAAAGGGTTAATGAATTTGAAAGACATAGCAATAGCAACTATCCAAAATGAAACACAAATTCAAGTGGTCTAAAATATGGCAACTGGACTCCCAGAAGAAGGGAGAGAATAGTAAAAATTTTGAGAAAATAATGGCTGGAAACTTTTCCAACATTGATGAAACTACAAATCTACAAATTTAAGAGCTTGATAAACTCCAAGAACAAGAAACATGAGGAAAAAAAATACATCATACTCAAATTTCTTAAAACCAGTGAAAAGATAAAAATATTAAGGCACCAAGAGGAGAATAGAAGACAGTATCTCCAGAGGAAAAAAGGACCACAGATTTCCCATGGGAAAAGGATACAACCAAGATGAGGGTGGAATAACATCATTAAAGTACTGAAAATAAAAATATTCTCAGTCTAGAATTTTGTATCAAAAAAAAAAAAAACTTTGAAAAACTGTTGAGACAGTCAAAAACGTCTACAGAATCTATAAAAATACCAAAATGAACAAATGAGTTTAGTAAGAGTGCAGGACATAAGATCTGATGCACATCTATTGTCTTTTTATATGCTAGCAATAAAAAATTTAAAATGAAATGAAACCCATTTAAAAATAGCATAAAAAGGGCTGTGGCTGTGGCTCAGTGGTAGTGCACTTGCCTGGCATGTGTGGGGCACCAGGTTCGATTCTCAGCACCGCGGATAAATAAATAAAGGTCTATCAACAACTAAAAATATATTTTTTAAAAATAGCATAAAATATACAATAGGGACAATTTGTCAAAGATATGCAACATTGAAAATGTAAAAAACTGCTTAGAGAAAGAATTCTTAAGTAAATGAAGAAATACCTTGTGTATTGAAAGATTCAATATTATTAAGAAACCAATTCTCCCCAAATTGATCTGTTTATTCAACACAATCTCAATCAAAATCTCTTCAAGTTTTTTTTTTTAGAAATTGATAAACTGATTCTAAGATTCATATTGAAATCTAAAAGACCACTGAAATCCAAAAGACTATTTCCAACTTTGAGGCTTATTATAAAGCTACAATAATCAGGATAGTATGGTATTAGAATAAAATAGACAAACAGATCAATGGAACAGAAATGTTTAGGAACAGGCCCATATTCGAACAAATGATTCCCAACAAAAATGAAGAGGCAATTTAGTAAAGAAAAAGTCTTTCAACAAAAGTTAACTCAGAATGGATCAGATACCTAAATGTAAAATTTTTAAAAAACTATAAAACTTTTGGGAGAAGAGTTTTTTTTAATATCCTCAGGTTAGGGAAAAGATTCCTTATACTAGGACATTAAAAATCACTATAAATCACAACTGACAAATTTGACCTCATCAAAATGAAAAGCTTCTATTTCAAAGACATTCTTAAGAGAGTTTAAAAAAAAAAAAACTGGGCATGGCCGCTCACATCTGTAATCTCAGAGACTTGGGAGGCTGAGACAGGAGGATCATGAATTCAAAGCCAGCCTTAGCAACAGTGAAGCAATGAGCAACTCAGTGAGATACTGTCTATAAATAAAATACAAAAAAGGCTAGGGATACTGCCTCCCCCCACCCCCCCAAAAAAAGAATGAAAAAAGCCACAGAGGAGAAAATGTGTAAAACATATACTGTGTCTGATAAGATATATATATCTGCTACACCTCACAAAAAACCATACAGATGGTAAGTAAGCATGTGAAAAGCTTCTTGATATCTTCTCTCAGTAGAGAAAGGCAAATTAGAACCATAATGAGATACTACTATATACCTGATTAGAATGGCTAAAATTAAAAAGACTGACTATAACCAGTGTTGGCAATATCTTGGAGCAACTATAACTCTTATGCAGTGCTGGTGGTAGTAATAAAAAGTTACATTTTTGGAAAATAACTGGCAGTTCCTTAACAAGTTAACATACACACCTACTATACAATCTAGCTATTCTACTTCTATGTATTTTCCCAAGAAAAAAATCAAAGTCCATAGAAATATTTATAATGAGCCAGGTACAGTGGCATATGGCATATACCTGTGATTCAGTGATGTAAGAGGCTAATGCAGGAGAATTTCAAAGCTGGGGCTAGTCTCAGCAATTTAGTGAGAATTAAAAAAAAAAAAACAAGGGCTGGGGATGTAGCTCATTGGTTCAATCTCCAGTACCACACAAAAACAAAACCCAAAAAACAAAAACCCAGAACAAATGAATAAAAAAACAAAAAACTTGCCTATGCATGTATATAGGAGCTTTTATTTGTAATTTATCCAAGTGGATGTATCTAAAGATAATTATATCAAATAAAATAAGCCAGACACTCCCCCCAAAAAGTACATACTATATCATTCCAATTATAAAAATTCTATGAAATCCAAAATTACTTTTCAGCAAATGAAAGCAGATTAACAGTTGCCTGAACTAGAGGAAAGGTTGGGAGGGAGGTTTTTCAATGGGGTGTAAGGTAATTTTGGGGGGCAATGGATTTGCTCATTATCTTGTGATCATGATCATGGTTATTATGGGTCTATATGTATGTCAAAACATGAAATTGTACTTTACATACATGTAATTTATTGTATGTCATTTATAGGTCCTCCAAAATGCTTGATTCTTATTTTGTAAAATAACAAGTTTAGCTAGCTGACCTAGCTCACCAAATCCAATACACAAAGACTTACCTTCTAAGCACATATGAATATCCATTGAGAAAAAGAAAAACATTTGATTTTAGATTAAAATCAGGCACAAATTTCCTTATAACAAAAATGTTAAAACCAAGCTATATTCCCACATTTTATAAAATTTATGTATAAAAATATTTTTAACTAGCAGCAGTTATATCATAAAATTCAAAATACTAAAGAATAGAAATCTCTTATACTTAACTACAATACTTTTTTGTACTTTTCAAAGTTTATTCATATACTATCTCATTTGACCTTTGCCTATCCCTGAAGGCAGCAGATAACTTACCATTTATCAATACACTTCTGACAAAAGCTGTGAGCACAAGGCAGGATGAGGTCAGCCCGCCCATCCATACAGATACAACACTCCTCCTCATCCGTCAGCTGCTTCACCCTGCAATGTGAAAACTGAGCTGGGACAAGGATATTCTCTGTCCATATGATTTCTACTTTGTTTTCATTGCCTTAAAAAGCATTAAAACACATATAAAGTACAATATGACTTATGTGCAAAGTTAATATGAAACTAAAATTACTATCTTTTAGGGTAGCAAATTATATTAGGGAAGAAACTAAGGGATAAATTTCATAAAGACTGGATAAAAGATAAATTCTGTGATTATTAAAGAAAACAAAACATGGACAAAAACTGGAATTATTTATGTCTTTCTGAAAATGCCCATTTTAATCTACTGAATTTATACAAATGACTTCAATCAATATATTATTTATCCATCACATAGGATACAAAACAGTAAAGTATGAACTGTGCATCAGAACCTTGCACTGCTGATACTGATAGTGGGCATATAAGTAAAAGAATAGCTTAATCTTAAGTATCAAATGCTATGGAAAACACAAAAGGGATAGAACACAAAATCTCTGTCCTCAAAAAGCCTTTTCGTCTTCTTGGAAAGAAAAGAAATGTTGAAACTTCTGCCTCAGCCACAGTTCAGAGTGCCCTGAACTGCCTTTGCACATAGCATTTTCCTTTCCAGGATGCACTTATGAGTTTTGTAAACTTCAACCTTAGTAATTCAACTCAAAATAGCCATTTTCTCTTTCTCAAGGAAGATTAATTGGGAGTACAAAATGAGTGATGGTAGAGAAAGCAAAACCAGTTAGGACCTTATTTCAGAAATTCACTTGGGAGATAATTAGGGCCTGGTCTAAGGAGCATGATAGAAAACAAATCATTAGGATGTGGTAATAGATTAAAATTAAGTGTTATACTTTAGTCATGGGAAAAAGAGAGCGGCCACTGAACTGAAAGGGTGAAATGGAATGAAAACTTAAATGAATGTGAATCTGTTATATCTGATGAAATATAGTCAGTTCAACATTCAAATGTCTTTTAGATCTATACCAGACCCTCATAAGTTAGAGTCTCTGATTCTGAGAGTATTAAAATCTTCATCTGGGATGTAGACTTGGGTGGCAGTTTCAGAGAATAGAACAATCTACAAAGAGTGTCAGAGTGTTCTGAAGATTAGATTTAAAAGTGAGGAGCACAGGGCTACAAAGAACAGCATTATAGAGATAAAACACAGGAAATACAGAAATAGCTAGTGGAACCTGTACAATGTACTTTTGTTTGTTTGTTTGTTTGTTTTTTGGCCTTCCTAGCAGCACAGTGATAAGAAGGAGCAGGGTCTTATTCTACTTGATCCTGTTAGACCACTTGTAAAGAATTTTCTCTACCTCATACTCTGAACACAATATTGACCAATAAAGTATTGTCCAGGAAAACCTACAGTATGAAGAAGAGAGCCATATAAACACAGGCCAAGGAACTGGAAGTACTTATTCTGGAGAACAGAAGTTTCAGTGAGAATTTGATTCGTTTTCAAATATCTGAGGGCTGGAAGAGAGAATAGAGTTTTTAGTGCAATCCCAGAGGGTCAGCCACTGAAAGCAAGGAATAGAACACTGCAACAATTTAATAAGAATGATAGTTAATTCTTTTAAAAATATTTTTTAGTTGTAGAGGGACACACAATATCTTTGTTTATTAACTTATTTTTCATGTGGTGCTGAGGCTTGAACCAGTGCCTCGCACATGCTAGAGGCAAGCCCTCTGCCACTGAGCTACAGCCCCAGCTCTGATAGTTAACTCTTATAGATATACTATGTGCAAGGCATTGAGAGATTTATATCTATTAACTCACAAAACTTTCTCAACATTCTTCTGGGACTGATACTATTATTCTTAACCTCTTTTAAAAGATGAGAAAACTGATGAAAAAGTGGATCAAGGATTTGAATACACATGACTTGGTAATGGAATCTGTGCTGTGTCCAGAGAGCCAGATTTTCAATACTTTGAGGAACACAAGGCAAAAGGGAAAACTTCATAGTAATTAGAATTGTCTGGGCATGGAAAGGCTTGCTTTGCAGAGACACTGAGTTTCATAGAACTGCAGGGTTAGCAGTTGTCCAATTTGCAAGTAAAAACTGGATTCTACTTGGTCAAGTACGATTAAATAGAATCTTGTTACTCCAAGTGTTATCTCAGGGTCAATAGCATTGGCACCACCCTGGGTCTTGACAGAACTTTAGGTCCCTCTTCAAAACCACTGAAAAGTAAACTTGCAGAAGTATAGTACTATAAGATCTTTGAGGTTAGAGCATGGCTGCATTGACAGGCTTAAATATAAGTCTCAGTGATATCAATTTCTAATCAGGCATTTATTTGTTTAAATCTTTCTTCATCTGACATAGGCCAATATTTATACTTCTATGGGGTTACCGTGAGGATTTAATGAGTTCTAATATCCTGTAAAAATAGATGTAAACCATTAATAAAATCTTGCATCAGATGTAAAACCAGACTGTATAAAGAAAGGTCCCTTAAGATCTTCTTCAACTTGGAAAGTCTTTTTCTATGAAATAGTATATCAGGGTGTCACTGTGAACCAAAAAACAAAGGAAGAAGCAGCCCTAACTAACCATTAAGCTACTGAGTTTCCCCATCTCAAGGACACATGAAGAGATAACACTTTTACCTCTTTCATTAAGATGACTACAACAAGAAAAGAAGTATTACTTTCTTTTCATTTGCTACCATATGGCTTAAATATATAGGTAAACACCATCCTCAGCTTTCAAAACACTTAAAAAAATTTGCCACTCTGAAGAAGGAGAAGAAAAAAGCAGAAAATTAGACCCCTGTCTTTGAAAAATTAACTTTATAAAGTAAAGGAAAGATAAGCCTAAATACTACCTACAACATTCTAAACCTCATTTGGCATGTCATTTGTCTAACAGCCTTAGCCATGAAAGCTACTAAAGATAAACAGGAAATGATAAATGGAAAATTTAACTGCAATGTAGCATTTGGAAACCAGTTGGTTAAGGATGGACAAGAAAATGCTAGTGCAAATAAAACAATAAAAGAGAAATTCTTGATTATACACATTCCTAACTCTAGGAAAGGACACTGTCAATACAGATTTCTGCTGTCTATCCAATATGACAAAAAGACAGGATGTCAACATGTGTGGACTCACGCAACTCTTTTTCCAATGAGGTATTTATAAATTTAAATTATGGTCATGATTGTCAAATGGCAACAGGTGGGAGCTTTCACAGGCCAAAAGCATAATAGAGAAGGGAAAAAAAAAACACTTTAGGTATAACGATAACATATTAGGCCTGAGTAAACAAGAACCATCATACAATTCTCTGGCAGACTTCATTTCCTTCTGGTAGCTCAGTATATGCAATACGTGCACCAACGACTTGTTCATTCCTAAATGGACTGCCATTATTTAAATTTTAATCCTTCAATTAGACACTTTCTGAAATGATTTGGCCAAATTCTTGAACCTAATTCCTTTAAAGGCTTGACATCTAAGAACCCAAATTCTTATTAATATCTCCTTTATAATCAGATGCAAGCATATAGAAAGTGGATTCCTAGAGACTGGGTTGACAGAAACATTACCTGGTGTGAACCACTTTAATTTAGCTTTAATTTGGCACTGAAAAAAGAAAGAAAGGACAAAATGATCCAAAAGTGATCTGGGATATAATACCAACTGAGACAAAAAGATTTAAGGTGTCACAATGAGCACCAGCCAATATATTAATGAGATTTCAGTGTTTTGTACAAATGGAAATAAGCAAAACACAGTGATTATGCATTATATACCTTCCCATCCAAAGACTAGCCTGACATGATGTTACAGAAGATGAGTTCTCATCAGCTTCTTCAGAGGTGGAGCTCTGAGCCAACACTCCTGCTGCTTGACTTGTGATGTCCTTATAAAGCTGAATAAACTGGTATAAATTCATGATCCGTGATGCTTCCACAATGCCAGTGCTTTTGTTAATCTAAAAATACAAAGAAATGAAGGAAAAAAAAGTGTGTGGGGGAACCACAAATATTTAGTCCAAATATCCTAGGAAACAGAGGTTTTTTTCTTTTAAAAAAAATTTTTTTAAATTGATTTTTTTAAAAAAATAAATGACAGTGGAATGCATTACAATTCTTATTACACATATACAGCACAATTTTTCATATCTCTGGTTGTATATAAAGTATGTCGACACCAATTCGTGTCTTCATACATGTACTTTGGATAATGATGTCCATCATTCCACCATCCTTTGCTAACACCCTGCCCCCTCTCTTTCCCTCCCACCCCTCTGCTCTATCTAGAATTCATTATTCCTCCCATGCTCCCCCTCCCTACCGCACTATGAGTCAGCCTCCTTATATCAGAGAAAACATTCAGCATTTGTTTTGGGATTGGCTTACTTCACTTAGCATTATCTTCTCTAATGTCATCCATTTACCAAAACAGAGGTTTTCAATATTTGTAAATTATTTGAGAAAGTAAGGGTCTGTGTAAATGAATAATACCATGTCCCCTTCATTTGTGGGTGTTTAAAATATATATACAAATGTATTGTATTTGATACATTTTATTTGAACACTCTTATTGTTGTAAGGACAGACAAGGCAAAGCACCAAAGTTAGCAGCAGGAAATAGTTTTATTTGGCTGCAGCCAGGTTCAGAGGGCACAGCTTTTGCAGTAATAAATCAATCCCCTGAACCCTGAGTTCAGGTGGTTTCAGAATTTTATACCCAACATGTAAGGGGAGGGGCTCAGAAGTTCACATAAAAGAGGCTTTTTCTTTCACTGTTCTGGGCACATTAACCCTTCAAGGTCAACACCTGAGAAGGGGAAAGCTTTTTCTCTCCTTTCTTTCCTCCCCCTGCTAGCTGTTACCATGGAGCCCACCTGGTAATTTCTCTTATCTTAGAAATGTAGACATCTCTGTGAAGCTCCAGCTCAAGGTCAGAGGCCTTGTTTGCACATCTACAAACTACTATACTGGATAAATGTGAAAAACTAGTAATGGGGTGTCCGACATCTGGAGTGCCGATTTCTTCCTGGCCAGTGGCCAAGTAAAATAGGGCAACACAAAAATAGGAAGTTTATCTACATTGAATTCTTTTGTAGAGACTCTTTTGCTGACAGTCCTAAAATCAGCCATGGTGAAGATTTCTGGAGAAGCCCAGTTAAGACTTTTTGTGGAGGAGAGGGTGCCACTGCATTATTATGTAAGATTGATTAGGCGATTATCTTATTAAGAATTGATGAGGTTAAGTGACTTTTCCAGAGTTAAGAAATTAATTTTAGAGATTAATATTCACAATACTTTCATTTTTATTTCTTAATTAAAGAACTTAAAATTAAGAGATTTACTTGAATCCAACAACCATATGCCATTCTACTATGACTAAAAAAACTGAGTACTTAAGTTCTGCTCTGTACCCAAAGTTCATTAAATACTAACAAAGAGTAGTTGAATTTTGAGCTTTAGCTCAAATGATAAATTCATCTTTACTAACTGGAAAGTTGATTGATTTTTTGGAAGGTAAGATCTATGTGGAGATGCAAATATATAATAAAAGACTGTACATGGAGAACAAATAAATAGAATTAAAAGGGACAGAAATTTATCAGTTTATAGAATAGGACTTCACAGCTGGAGAAAGTAGGCCAGTCTTCCTTTGGAACTATAAAGTACAGAAGAAATTATGGAAAAATTTATATAAGCTTAGTACCATATTAGCAAAGTTTATCACACTAACTATTCCTATCATAGGATTCCTGCAGCCGGGTAGCTGGATGTCATGTGCCTATAGTCTCAGCTGCTTAGGAAACTGAGGCAGGAGGATCATTTCAGCCCAGGAGTTTGAGATAAACACAGTGAGAACACATCAAAAAAAAAAAAAGAAAAAGAAAAGAAAAATATTTATATTTATTACATTTACTGATGGAGATTTTATAGTATTATGTACACCAGATACTAAAAATATAGGTACTAAAGACATAATGTGTATAAAACAAAAATCTGCCCTCATGCAAGTTATAAGATAGGTAGGCTATACGGGCAGAATACAGATTAGGTTAGATGGACATCAATGTTGTGGATAAGATGAATCAGGGAGGAGGAATGTTGAGGGGTTGGAGGGAAGATCTCACAGTGAAGGTGACATTTAAGAACTTGAAAAAGTACAGGAATGAATCATATATGAATAGCTGTGGGTCAATTCTGGAAGTTTAAAAGCTATTAGGCAGATGTATACCAAGCGAGGAGCACAAGGAGCCCAGAGTGCTTGAAACAGAATGAGAGGGAGGATTGGCAGAAGATAAGGTTAGAGAGTAAGGTAAGGATAGAATATATAGAACTTTGTTGACTAAAATGAATTGACTTTTATTCCACATGCATGGGAAGTACTGGAAGGCTTTGAGCCAAGAAGTAATATGATCTGCTTTACATTTTAAATTGTGATGTTTAATAGACTAGTTGTTGTGCTGAAAATGGGCACAGCAGAGCAAGAGCAGGAGCAGGGAGACCAGTTAGGAGACAAGTGGAAATAATCCTGGTGAGAGGTGATGATCACTAGGGATAGAGTGGGAATAGAGTGCATATGGTAACAACTTGTTAGGTTCTGAATGTATTTTAAAGACAAAACTAACAGGACTCATTTATGAATGGACTCTGAAAATGAGTGAAAAAAAGAAAATTCAAGGACAATTAAAATTTTAGTCTAAATATCAAGAATGATGAAACATATAATTCATGAAGTTTCCTGATAGCCACTGCATCTGGATCTGCAAAAGACTTTTGATCACCCAACATATGCTGAGTTCCCATCAGATGCAAAGCACTGGATTACATCAGTAAGGCATAAAAGGATTAGTCCCTGCCCTTACAAGCTTACTATCTAATTTTCAAGCCAAGAACCTAATTATTTTATTCTTAATGCTGAATTTAATTATGAAGTGTAAATAAAGTGCTGCTGGAATTTAGAAGAGGAAAAGAATTCCTATTAGGGAAGTTTTTATGGAAAACTTTATAAAAGATGGTGGCTAAGGTGGACCTTTAAGAGACATCAAGTTTAGACATGGAGAAACAAAAGATGTGTCAGAAACAGTTGGCTGATATCCAAGCAGCATTTCCGCTTTGCATCACTGGGAGAGCCTGATTTTATTTTGGCATTCATAACCCCCTAAAATGACTTAGGAGTCAATACTAACTAGTATAATCTAAACTAGTCATGAGAAGCACATTCTTCCTGCTAATGTATGTGTATGAAGGGAATATGAACCCTAGGGTTCTTTATGAGTTGGTCAGGAGTGGACTTAAAGGCATTTTTAATGTCCAACTTATAGTGTATATGCAAATGGACAATTTAATTGCATCTTTGTTTTAGAACAGAGGTTAGGACTTAAGGAAGACCAGTGAAATCCTTACCTTTCATTCACATGTCTATGGCTTCAAGAAGTTAAGAGTTGCCTATTCTAATCTACTCATTGACAGCTACCACTGTATTTTTAGTTGAGTTAAAATATTCAATTATCTAAAATATAAAGACTTAACTACAGGACAGTGTATTGATGGTGAAAAATCCATTACTAAGAATTATCAAAACAAATTCATTACAAAGAATTAAAAAATAAATCAAACCTTTCTAGTGAATTTTTTAAATGAACAAAACCCAATGTTTTGAAAGAAATGATCTTCTAAGATATTTTTAATTTTTAAAGTACCATCTTAGTGCTAAACAGGACTCCTCAGCCAGCTAAAACTCAAAAAAAGATAAAGGTTTACTACCATTTTCTTTGATTAGAAAAATCTCTGTAATACATCAAAATTAGACAAATCAGTAAGCTGGAAGGCAATCAGTATCAAAACTATGCTTTACAAGACCACCAAATTATTAACATTTACTTCCACTATATGATGTTACACTTTAAAATGTGGTTTTAACCCCCAAATAGTTGAAGCTCAGAAACAGAAGTCTCCATCAGTCTCACCTTGGTACAGACCACGCGTACAACCACTTTCCAAAAGGCAGAAGAATCAGACCCAGGTTGTACCTCAAAGAGAAGATGTTTTTCCTGGCCAGAAGCCACTTTAGCAGTTCTGAAAAGAGACAAACATATTTATTAATTTATGAAAAGTCACATACAATACTAGAGCTATAAAACCAGATTCAGGAAACACAAACAGAATAGAAAACAAAGAAAACACATAAAGACAAATGATAACCATGACTGTAATAATTAGATTCTTAAAACACAGGAATAGAGAATATTATGAACATAAACATACAACTTAATTTCCAAAGTTTTTAAAGCCAAGAGATTTATGGAGTAATACGTATAAATCTCTCTTTCTTTTTTCATATCTATATCTTAATTATCTTTGAAGTCCTAAGAAAGACATTTAGGAAAAATAAGTCAAAGAAATTTAGTATCTAAAGAAAAAGTTTAGTCCAGTTTCACTTATCCAAAATCCAAATATTGACTGTTGAGATACATATTGAGAAATATCTTTCTGTTCATTGAGTCCTACTTAAGCAATAACATGAACTCCTCGAAAGTTTTAATTTTATAGACAATCTGGGGAGTGATCAAGTAAAACAAACCCCTTGAGAAACTAAATATGGTTCTATTATCCTCTCCCAGCAGAGTAATTTTGAGAGCCCCTAAAACATAACATGAAAACATAACTCTTTTAAAGAATAATTCAATATACTGTCAATACCCAGTTCAAAGACATAATTAAACATTGAAGTTTCCATTTATAATTATTAACATTTCTCTCTGAGCATCAGTACGGTAAAGCAGATTCAACTAAGTGACTTAGAGCTAAGTAAAATGATACCATCAGAAATAAAACAATTAGACTTAGGAAATAAAGTCTGCCAGTGAAAATAATTCTGTCCTGCCGGTTTTTAGTTCTATTTCCCAGCTACCAAGCCACACTTCTAAATAGGTTTAACTACAGTTGTCAGAGAGCACTCTAACCCACACAAATTGTTTTTTTAAATTTATAGATATACAAATAATGGGTTCATTTTGACATATTCATAAATGTATATAACATAGTTTAATCCACTTCAATCCCTAGTACTACCCCCTTCCCCACAAATTGATTTTAAGAACTAAATCCAGAGGGTGAAGTTGTAGCTCAGTGATACAGTGCTTGTCCAGCAGGTTTGAGGCCCTAGGTTCAACCCCTAATACAGCAAAGCAAAAAAATATCAAATCCAGTTAGAAGTGTCCTGTGCTAAATAAAAGAAATATATTCTTTACCATTACTTTTGTATGACACAATAAAGTTGTAGGTGATTTTATAGGACGTATTTTAGCCAATATCTTTAGGTCAATAGGCAAAATATTATAGAATAGACAGAGCCTGCACATATGAATTCTAAGACTGAAAAGATGGAAAGTGTTAACCAATCATTCTTAAGAGTTGAAACCAAGCAACAAACAAAAAGCACCCTCTTCTATGATACTACTAAATTCTCAATCTTACTTTATTCTTTTTAAAAATATGGTCACAGAAGTAATGCTTTAAACACTACCATTTGGATGATTAAAAATTTTTAAATATTAGAATTTTTTTAAACCCACAGTACATTTTTATTGTAAAAAAAAAATCAGACAATACAAAAATATAAAAAAAAAAAAACTTAGTAAAATGTAAAATCTCCCTGCACTGTTTCCTTGTTTCCTTTTCCAACCATCCCCTAATCCAGAGACAAGCACTGGGATAATTTAGTGCATATTCTTCTAGTTCATTTTCTATATATATTTTCTATATATATATTATATCTTTATACAAGTTTTCTTTTTCTTTTTTTATTCTTTATCACTGGCTAGGAGCATCCAACTCCAGTCATGTCCATAAAGACAGTATATCATTCTTTCAATAAGTACGTCTCTTATCTAACACATAAAGCCTAGGGAGTAGGTTCATAAATCTAACTCTAAGCTATTTATAGTGACTAAACTACTACAAATTTATATACCAAGTGGTTCTAGACCTCCAGGTAATTTTTTTTTTTTTTGGTCTCTTTTGGGTTTAAGGAGAAGGAATATGGAATAGTGGAAGGAGTTTCAGACTCAGAGCTGGATTCTCCATAATACTTGGGTAATCAATTTAGGCCTCAGTTAAAATGTCCAACCCTGAGCACAATACTTTGCATGTAATACATGGTCAGTAAATGTTGACTAAATTAAAGAGAATAAGAGAATCTTTAAGATATTATTTAAGATATCTTATATAAGTTTTAATCATACTCCCAGGGGGATTGAAGATCAATATGTAATGTATATATAATAAAGAAAAGATATATATTAAAATATACATATAATAAAGGGTATATACGAAAAACTATATAAATATATATATGCATGTGTGTATGTGTGTATATATATATATACATATTTATGTGTATATATATATGTTTGTATATATGTATATGTGTGTATATATATATATATATATGAAATAAAAAGAGGTAGAAGTGGGTGCTGGCAACAGAAAGATTTAATAGAAAGAATTGACATCTGCCTACCTGTCACTAAGGGAGAAAACAAACAAGCAGTATTTAAAAATCATAGTGGTCTGGGAACATTCAAGGATAAAAAGACCTGTGTATTTTAAGAATTTCTATACAAATACATATAAAAATTGATTAAAAAAAAGAATAAACTCACAAAGAAAAGGCTAAGTTTTATTAGGTGCTTTTTAAGAAGGCAGAGACCTTTACAATCCATCTTAGATAAAAAATTATTCAAAAGAGCTACATAGGGCTTTCAAGGTATTAATAATTAGAAAACATGAATAAGCAAAATTTTATTCCTAAGTGATGAAAGTTACCTATCACTATCTATGTATTTCTCTGGCAAAATAACGGCTTAGTAAACAAACACAGAAGGGATACTCTCCCTTCTCCATTCAGCGGAAGAGGCTGATGTACAGAAGCCTTTTCAGAGTTACTTCTGACTATCCTAATCTTTCTTTTTAGTGGCTAAATGACATAGTTCCTTCTGTAGGGCACCCCTTTAGTGCTTTCAAACAAGTAAATTTACAGTCTTTTAGTATACAATTACTGAGATGTTAGGATGCATTATATTCTAGAAATGCTTCAATATATCTGTGGCCTGTGTTCCAAATTTCATTTTAAGTTCTTCTTTTCTGTTCCCATTATCTACATAGTTATTTTAAAATAACTACACAGGAAGTCTACTTATAATAAAGTCAACAAATATTTGCTAACTGTTGCTGAAAACACTAAATCTTACCAATCAATATCTTTGGTTACTTCTTACACAGCCAAGACATATGGTGCACACATGAAGGGGACAAAAAATAAAGTGAAAAAGAGCAAGCCTTACACATCATTTAGTTCAGCTACTCTCCCAAGAAATTCTTCATAAGTTAAGGAGCTACTTTCTCGAACCAATATGATGTGTTTTGCTACTTTTTCTGGTAACTTGTTAATAACCAACTGTGTCTGATCCGAAATTTGCTGTCCCATGATGAAATGATGTCTCTTAGAATCCAGAAAGTGTTGCTTCACATAGTTTCTGTCAAATATATAAAAAAGTTACTTTTACACACAACATAAAAATAGTGATATATCCATCCTTCAAATAAAGAAAAACTAGGAAGTAAAGAGTTCAGTAGTTTTATCTGAGTCTAATACAGAATCTTTTCAAATGACTATTTTCAAGATTAAGATTTATTTTATTTTTTCAGAATCACATAGGTAAATGAGAAAATGGCATTCACTTATGATAATTTTTATACAAGGGGCAGTCAAGTAATTGTATTTAATAGGAAACTGTTTATCTTATTTAATTTTCCTAAGAACATTTCCTGACTGCTAACCACATGTCAGACTCCAAACTAAGTGCTTTCCATATATCATTTATTTATTACATCCTTTGAGGTAGATGTTATCATATTCCTGTTTTATAGATACAGAAATGGAGCCAAGTGTTATATAAAATGTATAGTACAGAGTGCAAGTGAACTTTTGTACAGGGTGGAAGTGAACTTTGAACTCCTTTTTCATATTCTAATGCTCGAACACATTCTTAAACACTATGATACATGGGCTCCTGATAAAATTATATCAGCTTAAATCTTTTATTTATCGATATGCAACTTATTTGCAATTTAAAATACATTAAATTAAATAAGCTTTTTGGTTTAAAATATTTAATAAAATGAAAATGTTAAGATAATTTAACCATCTCACAATTTCTGCTTGGGGGGAAAAGAGAGCTCTTTTGCTCTTTAATTCTGCAAGGTATTTTTAATTTAGAATTTATGTAATTTAATTTGTTTTTTTTTTTTTTTTAGAGAGATGTGAGAGAGAGAGAGAGAGAGAGAGAGAGAGAGAGAGAGAGAGAGAGAATTTTTTAATATTTATTTTTTCGTTTTCGGCGGACATAACATCGTTGTTTGTATGTGGGCTGAGGATTGAACCCAGGCCGCACGCATGCCAGGCGAACGCGCTACTGCTTGAGCCACATCCCCAGCCCTGTAATTTGTTTTCTAAATATGAATATTTTTAGTTAAAAGGCCAGATCACTACTAATAATATATTATAAATATAGAGTAATAATTTATTGAATTGGCTTTACAATTTAACCACAAAACATTTATATAATAATCGTGTACTCTAAAATCTTGAAAGATATAACCGTATGTATGTGGCTACAGAAGAGTTGGAAGTGTTTATTCTAGAGAGTTCTTTTCCTTTGGTAAATAATGATTGAACATAATACCAAGTACTGGTTAACATTAAGCTAAATTTTAGTATCTGTCTATGGTCATGTATTCAATAACTACATGTGATATTCCTACTCAATACAAATACTATTAATAATAGTAAAAGCAGTTCACATTTGTTGATCACTTCCATTGTATAACATACTTCTAAACACTTTACATGTATTCATAGATTCAGTCATTTAAATTCCTAGAATAACCATTTTATGGATGAAGAAATAAGACAGTGAGGAAACAAGAGATTAAAGTAACTTGCCCAACGTCAAAGAGCTAGTAGTAATTTTTTCTTAGTTTTTAAAAACAGATAAGAAATGAAAAATGAATAATAATTTTTAAAAATGTGATTTCTGAGGAAATTCTATTTCATGTACCCATTAAAGACTATCATTTTATTTCACAAATTAACATCCATACCATATAAAGTAGATGAAATGGGAAAACTTTTCATAGGAAAAGTTGTGTCAGGAAATTTATTTCATCACTTAATGAAAAATGAAGTTATAGCTTTAAATATAAAATGTAGTTTTAAAATATAAAGTAAGTAGTCCTAAGTGTGCAAAATTTGCTTCTGGTATTAAATTCTAATGCACTATATTTGAGGTTTATTCTCTAAGTTATCTTAAATATAGGAAGTGTACAACTGTCAAAAACATACAAGTGCTATTTTGAATCTGAGCCTACTTGGCAACAATATTATAATATTAGAAATGAAAAGACATTGATGAGGAAGATCCAGGTAACTAAAAACAAACAAAAAAAACTCTGAAGGTAAAAATTACATTTTAAAATATGACCAACTAGATTTATAGCAATTATGTCCAAAGAGAAACAAGTAAAGACACTAACTTTGAGGGGGATTTCTAGAGCATTCATCAGTGATTTCTGAGTATTACAGACTAGTATATGTACCATAGGGTCGCATAATTCTTTTTAGTCTAAGTAATCTAAAAATAAACAAAAAAGAAACCTCAAAAATGGAATAGTAGGATATAACATTAGAATAAAAGTCCTTTCTAAGAAAGAGAGTGACTCGGGCTGGGGATGTGGCTCAAGCGGTAGTGCAGCTCTCCTGGCATGCGTTCAGCCGGGTTTGATTCTCAGCACCACATATTAAAAAAAATTCTCTCTCTCTCTCTCTCTCCCCCCTCCCTTTAAAAAAAATTTAAAAAAAGAAAGAGAGTGACTTCACCCTAATGTTCAAAATATATATGTACACACATTAAAATGATATATTGTCCTTATTTTTYTTGTTCTAATTCAAACTTGTGAAAGCAATATCAGGAACTAATGGTTTCAGACCAGCATTAGGCATCCACCTAGTCCTGTGTGAGGAAAGAAGTTCCTGGGAAAATATTTGAGTTCAGGACAGTCAGAATTAGTAAGAAAAGAGGGATGGTGCATGGTGACAGCAGGGTATTCCAGGCTGAAGTTAAGGAAAGTGCCTGAGATAGGAAGGATCATGGGGTCTTTGAGGTAATTTTTAAAAAACCAAAGTAACTAAAGCAGAGAGACTAAGGGAAAGGGAGGCTGGCACCAAAAGATGGGCTGTTTAACATTTTTATTGATGACCCGAAGACAAGACTGCATGACTGTCTAACCTGCAGATGATCAAAATTGGAATAATATCCAAAGAATCAAGATTAAAATAGATACTGACCTGCTGAAATTAAAATTGTTTAATACAGCACAAAGTTAACTCCTGAATATGTTTTGAAATATCAACTGAAAAAAAATCTAGGTAAGATGCACCCAATTAAGCAGTTAAAAATACAAAAAAAAAAAAGTTAATCAAAATAATCAAGAGTATAATAGGGACACCAAAGATGCTAAAATAATCTTAAACTCTTGCTAGAAGCAGATATCCAGAACAAGAAACCTAGTCCCATTGTGCTCTATAATGGTTTGACCACAATGAAGGTCTACATTCAGCTCTAAGTAGTCAGAGGGTACTAATAAATTAGAATATATTCAAGATGTTACAGGTCTAGAAAAGGAAACAAAATGATTTATTCTAGTATGGCTTGGTAACCCAGAGCAACATGATTGGTTTGCTCAAATATTTTAGGAGCTACCATGTAAAAGAGAAAGTAAGATTTATATTACAGTTACAAAGAGCAGAATGGTCAAAAAGTATAAATTAGAGGCAAATTTCAGTTGAGTGTAAGAATGTCTTACCATCCAGAAGTGGAAATGGGTGATGTATGTGAGCCTCTTTGCTGAAGTTTGAAGTGTTTAAAATGAGAAGTTCATCTATTGACTAACAGATTCTTCTTGGGTGGGAAATAGAGTAGGTGACCTTGAACCTAATATTGAGAGTTTTTCAAATGAAACTTAAACTTCTTCTAAATTTCCTGTACCAACTTAATAAAAATTCGATAATACTCTAATCAATCAATTGGAAACGGAGATCCAAGAAAAGCACAGACCAAAGTAGGGCTAAAAGTTTAAATGCTGCTTTGGACCAAGAGTAGTAATTTGTGAAAAATATGATGAAACAAAGGATTTGGGGCTACAGCAGCTAATTGTGGAAAAGTGAGAAAATAAGAGTTACTTTAAGATTTGGTTGTATAGCTTTCTCTCAGCTTTGATTGCCCATGTCTGATGTTAAGAATGTCTTCCTTTCCCTGGTACAGGGAGAGTACCTTTACATTGGGTTTTATCTTCTGCTTTCAGGAAGAAAAAGGAAGGTAGAGTGCATTTCTTAAACCTCTACTTTTTAAGTGCCTATAACCCCAAATAATCCTTATACCAAAGTGGCATATTTTGCTACATTGATCACCAACATCTATTTACAAGGAAGCCTTAGTTGCTTGTTTTGAGTTAGAAAATGTTTCCCTTTGTTTCTTCATTTTTTTCAATCTGGTGTTCTAACTTTGAATGATAAAGTTTATAATCTCAGGCAACATATTAACTTGTTTTTCTGTAATTCACTTGGTATCCAGGAAACCTCATCATTTGACTCCTTAGATTATTTAGCCAAGATAGCTGGAATAGTGATTCTCAATCTGGTTTAGGAGGAAGAACCTTGAATTTACAGTTTATTTTGAAAACAATAAAATATTGCTAAATATTAATGTCTAATACTAGCCTAAAAATATATCTGTTATTTCTATGTAATATAAGACTTCAACCAAGAATAAATGTTCACAAAGACAATCTGTTGAGGCCATCCTTTAGTCACTAGCCACAGCTTTTAAAGTATCTATCTTTGGTATTTTACCCATTTTTTTGTCATATATCATCAGTTAAGTCACTTACCCATTCCCCTCCATGAGCTGCTTCAGGATAAGAGCTAAGTTCTCTCTTTTAGAAAATACATAGGTACATAATGTTTTCTAAATGAATGCAATAAATACTGTTGACAGCTTTTGTTTTTTAAATTATTCACTGAGTAATTCCTTGACTTTTGTTTATTTGTCCAGTCATCTAGTAATGACTTGGAGATAAGTAGAAGTTAAAAACCCATATGGAAGAAAATAACACAAAACTGTAAAACCTTATCATTGATGTTTATATAAAATGGGAAACATTCACTATTTGAAATTAACAAAATACCTCTAAATCATTAAACAATAGTATTGCATAGGAACTTAATTTGCAAACCACTGGCATAAAAKTCATCAAAAAAACACAAACCTGTAGTCAAGATTTCTCAAAGAACTAACAGCTCTCAAAACTACTTTGTCACTTTTAATATAGTCCTTTCTAGCAAGATAGAAATGTGCTTTCAGAAACATTTGAAGGTTTTTCTAGATAAAGAACTGTTATTTTGAAACTCAAAAGCTCATCAAGGATTCCAAAAATGCCATTCTCTAGTGGGTGGTACATACAGTTGATCACTTCTTTTTCTAACAAATGAACTGTTGTAGTTCAAATATTTCTTATAAAAATATAACAACCACATCATGGCTAATTGGCATACACACACAAAGATACCCCAGAACCAAAACCCAAATCAAAACCAAAAGTCCACAAAAACTCTCTGCAAATTTAAACCACAATCCATTCATAAAAGGATTAAAGCAAAACTGAAAGTGCAACAAAATGACTGACTAGTTGACAAGTAATGAAACATTTAGAAAACCTCTCTGAAGTTTGTTCTCCATCAAATTAGCTTGCAAAAGATACTTATAATTGAAATGATCATCATCTATTTTCATGCCAACTTTAATCTCAGTTTGGAATAGCTATTCTGGGATGAAAAGATTTTTCCATATATTTTATTGGTGCATTACAATTATACATAATAATGAATTTGTTACATATTTGTATATGCACCCAATCCAACAACATGATTTGGTCAATATATGTCCCTAGTATTTCCCCTTTCCCTCTCCTTCTCTGGGCCCTGATGCCTTTCCTCTACTGGTCTAGGACTAAAGACCTTAATCAGAAAAAAAGAAAAAAGAAAGAAAGAAAAGAAAAATCCCCACTACCACAACAAAAACTATCTATAAAACAATCTTGGGAATTAGTGGATTTCTAATAGCATCAATGTGTTTACTAAAAACTTTTCATATTTAGAAAAACACACTACACTTGCAAGAATTCTGTGTGGATCTCCCAAGTCTTTTGGGGAAAAGGAGGAGAAAGGAAGTGTGTATTTGGATAAAAACCAAGAGGGATCGAGTGACAAGGAATTAACATATTTTTGAAAAATACAATCATATTCTGGAGGACAATATTTAGCAACTGAAGTCAGGCAGCATAAAGGAGAAAATTCCATACTATTTTTGAGTTCTGAATTCAAAAGGCACCACTTTTCTCAGAGGAATGGCTTCAATATAGAGGACACTACTTCAGGATCTTTGGTAGCTCAGGCCCCAGGCAAATTCTGAACAGCTGAAGCTCACTTTACAGCCACAAGAATGCTGGGAGGTGAGTGGTAATGATAAACTTCTGCTGAGGTGTAAGAATTACAAAGAATTGGAGGTGTTACTGCAGCTTCATAAATACACCAGAGGAAATAAATGAACGTTGGGCACTGTAAAACAGGACAGGATCAGAATATGACAGTGCCTATTTAAGGAAGTTGGGGCTATATTTCAACAATGATAGCAAATCCACATTTTATAACACGACACAAATAACTGAAGAGGGAGTTTCAAAAACTAACAGGGGTTTCTTTCCCTTCTGTGTAATCACTACAATTATTATTAGCAAGGAAACTACCCCTCCTGCGCTGGGTCTCAAGGTAGCAGCTAGTTTGACAATCAAAGGCCCTAGGCTTTGGGTGTGCTAAGAACGACTTGGCTTTCCTGAGCTGAAGCCCCAAGTAAAGGGTTTCTCCTCAGGAGAGTGGCACTCGGCGAGGCGCAGCCCCGCGCGCCGTCCAGGTGCAGGCGCCCGCTCTCCGCCTCAGCCCCTCCTCAGTGCACCTGCACTTGTAACCAACAGCTAAATCCGGAGGCCGACTGACTGCGCCGGCGGCAATATTCAAAAAAAAGGGTTCTGGGCTCCAGGAGGAAAACCTTCTCTCCCGGACTCCCGGAACCACCTCCAAAGCGGGGCAAGCACCTCACCCTGGGCACTGGAAACCGCCGGGTGGAGATCGGAGTACACCGAGAGGCCTCCCAAGCCAGCCCCGCGCCCCGAGTCCAGGCCTGGAAAAGGCCTAGCTCCCCGAATTCCCGCTCAGCCGTCGAGGCCTGATCGGGGTTTCTACTTCGTGCTCGAGGGGCGTGGAGCAGCTAAGCTGGGGTACGGCAAGAGGACAATGCAGCGGAGCTCACCCAAGTTCAAGGCATCGCGCTCCAGGCGTGAGCGACGCCGCCTCGCCTCGGGCTCAGACCAGCAGGCGGCGGCTCGGCGGCCGACCCGGTCGCACCTCAGTGACGCGAGGCCCCGCCCCCCGGCGCGTTGCCTGGAAACGGTGCTCCGACCTTTCCCCGCCCGGCTTTGCCCCACCTCTCGCGGCTACCAGCCAGCGGCCCAGAGGTCTGAGCGCCGCGAACCTGCTTAAGCCCCTGCGGTTGTGATTGCCCAGGCCTAGGACCCCGAAGCACCGAAAGCCTGACAGGCTGCTCCAGGCGCGGGTCCGTGGGGGTAGTCTCGGGGACTGCCTGGCCGACTCCCGCCTCCGCATCGGAGGGAGGCAGCACTGCGAGTCCCGGGTTTGGTCGAGGGTTGGGTTCCAGGCCACCACTTCTCCCTGGGATCACAGGAGAAGACTCGCTTCTCGTTCTGATTACAGCTACACAAAGATCATCTCCCTCCTCCGTTATGAAAGGGGGTCGATCATGGTCACCTGGCTGGGTTGTTAAGCGTAAAGGAGAACGTGTGGAAAGCATCAAGCCTTATTAGGAACACATGTGGGCGATATCACTGCTTTTCAGAACATTTTAGTCAATAATTGATGTTCATTAAGCATGTGTTGTTGTGTTTCAAATACTGCAGGAAGGCATTTTTACAGGCATCACTCTTGTTTAAGTAGTTTGCTCAAAGTTATACAGGCAGTAAACAGCAGAGCAAGGATTTAAACCGAAGTATGGCTGATACTACTGTCTCCATGCCTAGCAGCTAAATTAATGTTTGGGCGCCTGAATCCTTTCATCAGTCATTTGTAGATTTACTAGGTAAGGAACTAATCAAGTACTGGGGAAGGAAATTTACCAAATGATGCTGTGTCCATGTACAAGTATACTACAATGAATCTTGTTATGAAAATAATGCACAAATTAACATAATAATAGAAGGGAGATCAGCTGAGTAGAGCAAATGGATGGGGGAGGGTGGAGGAGAGGAAAAAGGAAGGTGCTAGGGAAGGAGTTTGAGCAAATTACGTTATGGCAAACTGAATCCCACTATTATGTTTAATTATAATGCCCCAATAAAAATTTCTTCAAAAAAGCCTAATCCTGTCCTTTAAAAATAAATAAAATCCATTGACTGCTTGCTATGTGTCAGACCTTGTTCTAAGAACTCTAAAGGTATTAATTCGTTTAGTTCTCACAGCAATCCTATGAGGTAGGTATAAATATCCTCATTTTATAGATGAAGAACAGGCTTAGGTCAAATTTTCCAAGATATTTCAAAAGAGTAAGGAGTAGCACCAGATTGCCAATGTCTGGGCTTGGCACAGAATCACGAGCCACCACTCACCTTGTAGATTCAAACAGCAATTCTTTATTCCCCAACTCACACCGGCCTCTACACAAACACGTTCTGGGGAAATCCAAGTTCTGCCGCCCCATTCACCTACTCCAGGAGGCTTTTTTCCAAATCCCATTTTAATCTCACGAGAACTCAACGGGAACAAGCAGCAGGAACACCCTAATCCCAGCAGCAATAATCTTCAACCTCCAACTTCCCTAAAACCCCTATTGTCTTAAACCGGGAACACCCTAAACCCAAATTGTCTTAAACCTGGATACTTCCTAAAACCTGTAGGATACACCCTAATCCTGGATCCACCCTGGTCCTTGAGCAGGGTCACCTTTCTCAAAGACACATGCAATGTCCAAGGCAAGTCCATTTAACATGGGGTACGCTGGCAAGGAAATTTCGATGCGTCATTCCTACTTGGCAATGGCCCTCAGCACCAGATTCAAACCAAAGCCTACTGAACTCTGAGCCTGAGCTTTTAACTCTTGTTTTAAACTGCCTCAGTAAGATGGTAAGACTTCATCAAGGTGACTCTGTTTGTCCACCATTGTCTCCCTGACAATCAGCACAGCACCTAGCTTGCTGTTCGAAGTTTGACTACTTGATAAATATGTGAACACTGGGAAGGCAAAAAACTTAAGACTGAAATTATTAAAAATATTGAAATTAATAATTTGGTAAATAAAAAGAATATTTAATTGAATTGAACAAGTTCTATATTTCAGCCAAGTCTGGGCCTGGGAGTCAGAAATAATACTCTGTAAAAATTGCCTTTAATTGCCAAATGTTTTCTCTAATATGCAGATACTAATTCACAATACGTGGGGGCACTAGGGAAGAATAGTATTATCTTTAGGTAGAGGGAAGTGATGGGAGGGAAGGGGAGGGGATGTGGGGATAGGAAAGATATTAGAATTAAACGGACATTACTGTATGTATATATGTGACTGCATAACCATATGATTCTGCAACATGTACACTCAGAAAAATGAGAAATTATATCCCATCTATGTATGATATAGCAAAGTGCATAAATGCATTCTACTATCATGTATAACTAATTAAAACAAATAAATAAGGGGCTGGGGTTGTGGCTCAGCAGTAGAGCGCTCGCCTCGCATGTGTGAGACCCTGGGTTCAATCCTCAGCACAACATAAGAATAAGTAAGTGAAATAAAGGTGTGTGTCCAACAACTAAAAAATATTTTTAAAATAAATTAAAAAATAAGAGACTTAAGGGACACATAAAAAAATTGCCTTTAAACATTGCATTGTAGATTCTAGTCAGTGTAATAAAACAAGACTAAGAGATAAAAGGCATCCAGCTTAGAAAGAAGATGTAACAATTTTCATTGGCATAAGAAAATACTATATTGGGGCTGGAGATGTGGCTATTGGGGCTGGGGGTGTGGCTCAAGCTGTAGCGCGCTTGCCTGGCATGCATGCGGCCCAGGTTTGATCCTCAGCACCACATACAAACAAAGATGTTGTGTCCACTGAAAACTAAAAAATAAATATTAAAAAATTCTCTCTCTCTCTCTCAAAAAAAAAGAAGAAAATACTATAGATCATGAAAATAGAAGGGAGACCATTAGAATAGATGAAATGGACCAGGAGGAGGGAGGAGAAGAGGGAAAGGGAATGAAATTGACAAATTGGTCAATATTGTGTACATGTACAAAATATGTAACAATAAATTCTAATATGTATAGTTATATACATTAATTAAAAAAAGAAAATACTATGGAATTCAAAAAAAAGCTACTAGAACTTAGCTTTTTGCTTAGTAGAAGTTGCAGGACATAAAGTCAATATATAAAATCAGTTGTTTCTATAAACTAGCAATGAGCAATTAGAAATTGAAAAATTTTTAAATGTCATTTAGTAAAAATGTGATATACTTAGGGACAAATTAAGACCAAACATGTGACATACATACCGAAAACTACAAAAACTTGCTGAGATAAATTAAAGACATAAATGAATAGAGTTGCATAGTTTTTGAGTTAGAAAAGTCAATATTTTAAAGATGTCATTCCTGTCTAAGTTGATCTAGAGATTCAAGGTAATTCCAGTAAAAATCCTCACAGGCTATTTTATGGAAATTACCAAGCTAATTAAACAATTTATATGGAAATGCACAGAACCTAATATAGCCAAGACTCTGATCAAGTGTGAGGACTTACACTATCTGCTTTCAAGAGGTGTTATAAGAACTATGGCAATCAACACAATATGGTATTTGTGTAAAGATAGACAAAGAACAATGGAACAAAACAGAACCCAAGATACATCTATACATATGCAGTCAATTGATTTTCAACAAATATATCAAAGAACTTTAATGGGGAAAAGGATAATCTTTTCAACAAATGAAGCTGAGAAAATTGGATAGCATATGCCAAGCTAAGGAGTCTAGATCCTTTCCTCATATCATACAAAATTAACTAAAATGTATCATAAATCTAAATATAAGAACTGAAATTACAAAACTAGAAGAAAATGTAGGAGGAAAATCTTAATGACCTTGGATTTGGCAGAGATTTCTTTTAAAAGTCACAAAAAATAGAAGTTATACAAAAGAAAAAAACTGATAAATTGTACTTCATCAATATTAAACACTTCTACTTTTCAAAAGGTTGGTAAGAAAATGAAAGGGCAAGCTGAAGACTTGGAGAAGAAAGTACTTGAAAATATATATTTGACACAGGAGGTTTCTATCTAGACTCTAAAAAGACTTTTACAAATCAATAAGCCACTCTAACTTTTTTATATGGAGGAAAGATTTGAAGATCATCTAGGTTTATGACAAAAAGATAAGTACATGAAAAGATGCTCAACATCATTAATAATTGGGAAAGTGAAAATTAGAAGTGCAATGAAATATCACCATAAACACTAGCCAATAGAATGGTTAAAATTAAAAAGCCTGATTGTATCAAATGTTGACAAGGATGTAGAACAACTGAAATGCTAGTATATTGCATATTGGGAATGTAACATGCTAACCATTTTAGAAGAAAATTTGGTCGTTTAAAAAAAAAATCTATACATACATCTACCACATGACTTAACCATTCTACTCCTAAGCATTTATCTAAGAGAAATGAAACCATGTATCTGCACAAAGACTTTTACATAAATATTCATGCCATTTTTGTTAATAGGGTTATACTAGAAACAACCCAGATATGTGTGTGTGTGTGTGTGTGTGTGTGTGTGTGTGTAGAAAAATAGTGGAAAACCATCTCATATCTACACAATGAAATATTACTCAGCAATAAGAAAGAATGGTTATAGCAACAAAACAAACTATACTGTGTGATCCAAACTGTTAGTGATAAAAACAAATCAGTGGCTGCCTAGGGATGGGGTGGGTAGGGAAAATGGTGAGGAAATGGTAGGTAGAGGTGGGTGGCAGGATGGTATTATAAAGGAGGAAATTTTGGAGGGTGATGGATTTGTTCATTTTCGTGATTATAGATCACAGTTTCACAAATGTATATATAACGTCAAAACTTTTCAAACTGTATACTTTGAGTACATTTTACAATTATCAATAAAATTGACAAAAAAGACTACTTAAATTTGAAAAGGTTTTGTATTTCAGACTGATCTGAACCTACTAAGTTACAAAAATAAATCTCTGAAAGTTGCCTACAATTTCATAAAATGTCACCAGTCCTCCTTTTTGTAGTAAGTACAATAAGGATTGGA